TTATTGAAATATTTTGTAAAATATCATGATATTCTATTTTAGTTATTATTATGAACTAATATTTAAAGAAATTGATGTGATGCGAAAATTGATGATATAATGGTTTATTATAAATAATGAAAATTAATTTATGAAACAATTATTGAAACCTTCTATAAATTTTGATTTCAAAGATGTCATTTTTGAAGATACTCTAACTTAGAAACTATATTCAAAATAAAATAAGGCTCAATTCAATCATTAATATAGAAAAGATGAAGATATAAGAAACTAGAAAACTAATGTCAGACCATGGAGTTCATAAAGATAAATGACAGATTAATATTAAGGAGATTAAAATTAATAGCTTAATGGAAAGAATTCTAAATAAAATAAACAGAAACAACATTTTACATAAAATATGTCTGCAAAATAAATGAAATTTGATAAAAATCAAGTTTGTACAACAAGTCCTTCTATTCAATCTAATTGTTATTTTCCATAATAATAACACAACATTCTTAAAAAATATACAACCAGTTCATAATAATAAATTATCTAATAACAGTTAGATAACCAGAATAACAATAAATTATTATAATAAAATCAAGATATTATTAAAAATGCTGGTATTTTTGATTGGGATGATAATGATTTTGAAAATTAGTTTTATATTACTAATAAACAATATGAATCTATTGAAAAATTGAATTAAGAAAAATTTATATAAAAGTAATAAAACCCTGATGTCATTTAAATTTCAATTAAATAAAATCAAGAAATATTAAAACAATAATAGAAAGAGATTTTGTAAAAATTTGATAATATTGAATAATTAAGAATGAATGAAAAACTAAAAAACAATTAAGTAATATCTTAATAACCATTTTTGGATACAGTTAAATAAAATGATAATATAAAAGAAGGAAAGTTAATTTAATAGACACCTATTAATAATATTTAAAAATTTATCCATTATGAATAGGAATATGATCAGGAATCTTTTGAAATTGATGAAGAGAATAAAGTAGATGATAAATAAAATAAAACTCAAAAAAAATTATAAGATAATGACGTTAAATAATCTAAAATTAAATTAGATAAAGTTTAAGATAACAGTAAGAAAGTTAAGTCAAATGAAAGTTTAATTAAGACATCCTCCTAAAATAACAAATAAGTAATTTATAGAGCTAAAAATGCTAAAGAACGTAAATAAGAATTAATTAATATGAGATCTGATTTTGAGAAATATTTGTTGTAGAATAACGAAGCAATTTCTAAAATGTTTCAAGAATTACAAGATACTAAAGATAAGGAGAGAATTATGATTGAAATTAATACTAAAAGATAGGAAGAATTGTCTTAAGCAAGACTCACATTAAAGTAACTTTAAGAAAAATTTAGTAGATAATAACAGATTATTGAAGTAATCATGAAATTAATATATTTAAGGATTTAAATCAGAAAGAACATTATGCAAATTAAATTATATAAAAGTTGACTGAAAAAAAATAATAGTATAATCAATAGTGGGAACATTAAATGGAGAAATATATGGCATGTAAAGTTATTGCTAGATTTTTTAAAGGAAAGAGAGATAGAAAACTATATACAGAATTTAGAAGACAAAGTTTTATTAATAGATTAAAATAATGATTATAAATTTAATTATAAAATGGTATTATTTATTGAATATTTAAATGGAATTAATTAGAAAATAAGATATTTAAAATTTGATAATTGAAATAGAGAATAATATGAACAAGGAGAAATGCAAATAAGAATTAAGATATTATTTATTTAATCTATTTAAAATAGATATTATTAAATAATTATATATAATAGAGAGAAATCATTGTAAATAAATAGAATAATGATCTAAAAAAGATTAACAGTTATTGCTAATTTAAAAAATGAATAATATCAACAACTAAATAGATTAAATCTAAAATTATAAAATATGAATTCTATAATTAATTTATATGATAAATTATGTATTAATAGTATAATTATTAAATCATATAATACAATTTTAGAATACTCTATAAACCATTATTAATTTTAATGAAATTATTAATGATAAATAGATTATAAGTTGGATACTTATTAATTGGATTTGCAGCAGGATTTTATTTTGCTATTAACTTAGATCAAGCATATTATTTCTCTTTGCATCATAAACTATTCTTGCCTTTAAGAGATGAACTAAACAAGACTGATAAATCATTTTCAACATTATTTAGTACTTTTAAAGAGGGAATCAAGAATGCATATGATGATATTTGAGTTAATATAAAAAATATTAATGAATTTAAATTATATTGACAATTATTGTTAAGCCTTAGATATTCCAACATAATAATAAAAACCATTGAGTATTCATAATTCAAATAGAGAATACACTTTTGCTCCATCAAATTAAAATTAAGTTATTAATATGAACCCATCGTAATCTCAATAAGATTCAAATTTTATTAACAAATATCATAATAGTAGTCTACCTCCTAATAATTATATTAAAAAGAAATCACCTAGTTAACCTAATACATATTTGAATAAATTGAAATAATAATATGTTCCATTACAATCAACTCAATCGACACATCATAGTAATCATAATCAATCAATTGAAAGTGAATAATAAAGTTATGAATAATTGGTTATTTACAATAATTTACTCAAATTGGAATTGGAAAAAAAGTTGTTTAATTGTGGAGTTTTTGTTATCAAATAAAATAACGGGAAATGTGTTGATTTTTATATGGAATTAAAAAGATAGAAAGATCATTATGAAAAATAGATATAATAATTATAAGATATAATTTAAAATTATGAAAATAATCCAAATGAATAAATTGATCATTCTGAATATTAACGATAGAATTTAGAATTAAGTAATACAATTTAATAAGCAATTTAAAAACTTACATTAGCTAATTAAACAATTAATTAATTAGAATAAGAAAAAGAATCGTTATTAGATTATGTTGATAAATAGAAAGATATTGCTGAACAATTAAAACAATAAAATGATTAAAAAGATTTAAAACAAAAAGAGATGAAAATAATGATCTTACAATTATAAAAATAAATTGAATAATACAACATAGAAGTAATGGAGAAAGAAGATTTTATTAAATAAATAAATTAGATGTAAAATAAAAGTAAAAGTTTATTTTAAGATGAAATTATGAAATATCAATCATAAATTACTATATTATAAAGATAATTATAAGATTATGAATAATAAAATAAAGATTTAAGTAGAAAATTTAATGATAGTGCATCTTAAATACAAATGATAATTAGATAATCTGATGATAAATAAAGTTAAATTTAATTTACATAGATTTAAGATAATCATAGTGTTTGTGAATTTGATAGTAATTTGAAATCATCAAGAAATACTAATCTTATTCAAAAATAATAATAGGGTTTAGATTAGATGATTAGAATTAATAAATAAACTCTATAAGATTTTTAGTAATAATTGGTATTACATTAAAAATTAGGAGAGTATTAAGAAAAATTAAGTAATTAATTATAATAGATTGAATAATAAAATAAATAACTAATAACAATCACATAGTAGCATTAAGTACTCCTCTATTAAAATTAATGTCTTATAGAAAAGGAAGATCAATTAAATTAACAAATTTATAATTTAACTTAGAATCTTGAAAAGCTTTAATAAGAAAGATAAGAATAAGTTGAATAAATTGAATAATTATAGTAATAAGTAATTGATTAAAATTAAATAAACCAAGATTTAAATGCTTAATACTTTAAATAAATTGATGAATTATAAAATATAAATCAAATTTAATAAAAGTATGATACATTATAAATTAAAGTTAAAGCAGATGTGGAATATTATGAGAAGTATATCATCTTCTTTATATTAGCATAATTACTGATTTTAATAACTAATTAATTAAAATTTAAAAGAAGATTGAAGATATTTTAATTAAATTCTAAGTTTTTGATATAAGTAAGATTAAAGTGAATGAAATAACAATCAATACAATATTGATATCACTTGATCATTTAGAAACTTAGATCAATAGAAATCTTAGTTGTAATTAAATATAATTAAATACATCAAATCAAATTAACAATAATACTTAATTAAATTTCTCAACAATTTAAACTCCAACTAATATGGTAGTACAACATAGTAAATACTTTTCAAATGAGTATTTCGATAGTAATCAAAAAAATAGTATGTTGAGCAACTAGAGCAATCATAATAAACCATATTTAGTGAAAAGGAATTACTATTTATGAATTTATTTTATTTATAATGCTTAAATCAAACAAATTAACTTCTGAGTCAGCTTTAACTACTAATAGACCAACTAGTCGTATAGATTCTTCATATTTAAACAGAGGAACATCTTAACATACTTAAAGATAAAGAACAAATAAAAAATATTGGATTCAAATCAATAAAGCTAATGAAATTGTTATGGATACTTAACCTTATATTGAAATTGAAAAATATAGAAAAGCTAATTCATGTCATATCAGAGTATAATAATTTATTTAATTAGCCTTCCTTAAATAGGAAGACAAGTTCTGATATAAAAAATTAAATTGATTTTAATGAGATTAAACATTACATTTAAGAAGTTGATAAGAATTATGAGGATGAACCATTTAATAATAATAAGGATAATAAAAAATAAATATAATAATATTAAAATGAGAAGAGACTCCATCATTTAAATTTAATATTGACATAATTCAGAGATGAAATAAAAAGTAGAAATATATCAAATGAAATAGAATCTTAAAATTAATAAAGTATTTATATAATTTGATGAATAAAAGAATTTAACAATAAAATTAAAATAAGATCAAAATAGTTTGCTATTATTAAGTATTTTATTTATTTATTTTAGATAAAAATCAGACAATTAAATAGGCTTTAAACTTTCCAAACTAAAATAATAGAACATATAGCCAAAGCTAATTTACAGTAACTATCTTAAAGTACTAAATGATTTTAAATTTAATGAATGTAGTCCTTCAGAGCCTCTTCAGATTACATTTTGAATTAAATTCCATTATTACCTTCTTAATAGATATAAAAATTGACTGAAAAATTAGGGAATTTAGAAAATTATAAGTAAGAAAGTGATTATTTTATATCATTTATTAGTTTAACAAGTGATAGAGTTGATAATTATAAAGAATAATGTGGAAGACCCTTAACATCTATGAAAAGGATTCTTAAAAGAAATAAATAGTATCCTGATTAATTAGATAATGAATTATTTTTAGATGAATCAGTAATTAGTGAAACTGAAGGTATTTCAAATGTTTCTATTAATTATAGCTAAATTAAATTCTTTATATGGAGAAAGCATTTTTATTTAAAAGAATCTAATATCAAATTAAAAAAGCAATCCTATAAAAGTAATATAAGCAATAAAGAAAATGGATTAAATTAAATCTATTATCAATAATGTTAACGCAAATAAATTAATGAATAAGTTTATAATATGAATAAACAATATACACTCATTTTTTACATATTTTGCAACTATATTGTTCCATTTAATTTGCTTATTCTTATGTTAATCCCATGCATGATAAATGAAACCATTTATTGCATTGATCACATTAGATATACAATAAATCCTTATTATATAAATAAAATTATTTACAGGATTTTAAGGCTATTCACAAATACAAACTTTTTTCCATTAAGAAATTGGTGGATCTAATTGTTTAGTTAAAGTGTTGTATTTAGATCTAGTAAAATAGGCATTTTATGTTCCTGTATTTTCAAATTCATCAATATTCATTACAAAACATTTTGCTTATATACAATCTATAAATAATATAGTTGTCTGTTCAGTTAAGAATAATTCACATTCAGAAAAAGAGTCTTTATCAATTGAATCTGCAAGGTCTTAATAAGTACAATACCTAAAAATCAAATACTTAAATCTACCATTAAACTTCAACTAAAGGAACTATTGTTTTATCATCTTGTTGATAACCATAAAAGTTTTGAATTAACCCAATCTATTCAATTTGATTAGTTGTCTTTATTAATACACTATCACCAATTTGATATCTCTTTTTATAGATCATTATGTCTTAATGTTTAATGCATTTAAGTAAGAATTGTTCTTTTTTTGATAGTTAATGTTCAGCTGCATTACCATTTCGACACTCCTGTTGTGTAGTAGAAAAATCTGCACTGTTTTCTTTGGCACTAATTTCCTATTGTTAATTCATTAAATTAATTATTAGGTTGTGTATGAATTCAACACTACTCTCCTTTAATTCCTTAAGTAAGAGATATTTATAAATAATAATAAATTATTAAGATCATCATATTAATATCATTCATCTAATTTATTATTATACTACTATGTTGCATTTTTTAACAATTTGTAACATCATCCTAAACAACTTTATAAATAATATTTTTGTTAAATAAAATTATATAGTTCCATAGATATTAGAAGAAATCCTATAAACTTAATAGATTAAATAGATAAATCAGGAATAAATATAATGAAAAATCTCTTAAATATTAATAATTATTTAAATCATTTATAAATATCAAAAAATGAAAAGTATATACTTTTTGTATCTAAAGGAGATTAAGATTCAATCAAATTTATCGTTTAAAAAAACTCAATATTGAATTCTTAAACTATTAAAATTTCTAATTTTCTAATATGATATTCATATTATAATAATTTTATTAATAACTGAATATTTATTATAATTGTTAACAAATTTATGGAATTAGATCAATAAATAATAAAACTTAAATTTAAATATCAATTTATCATAGTTTAATCAATTAGATTAAGATTTGGATATAATTTTAATTTTATATTTAATAGTGATTATATATTACTTAATTCAGTCCATACTAATTATAGTCTCACAACTGTCTTCATCTTATGATTAATTGAACTCTTATTGAAATTGTTTTTAAAGGATTTATTAATTTTTTTCTTATTAAATGAGCATTGTATTAATATTTGATATTCTATTTTTAACATTCTAAGCCAAATCATATATTCGATTGAATTTCTTATTTTCAATTTGGATATATTAATTTTAATATAATTCTTTAATGGCTTTATCATAAGTATCAACCATAGGTCTATGAGTTTTGGAATAATCATAAGGTAATTTGGTATTTTTAGGTTATTCTCCTTAACTCTATGCAAGTCTAAAAGGAGATGTTTATGAAACACTTCCTTGACTGCCAGATCTCATCAATTAACTTTTAATTACACTTTATGTGGATTATAGCATATTGAAAAATTGTTAAGGACTTCCACATAATTCAGGTGATTCTCTAAGATCAACAGACTTTTTATCATGACTTTTGTTTTATTGAATAGTATTTTAAGAATGATTACTTTTGTCATTAACTTTAATTCTGATATCAATATCTAAAAATAGTAAAAAATATATACTAGAATCTCCACGTTGAGTTTTACTTCCATTGTTACTTCTTTAAGCTAAATAGCTTTTATAGATTTCATTATGTGTTTTATTCAACTTTTCAATAATTTCAATATGTTAAGTTGGTCTCTTTTTTAATGCTTTATTAAGTTATTAATTGACACTAGAAGAATGAGAACTTAAAGGTATATCTCTAGTTTTATCTCTTTAAGTAATAGATTTCTAATGCAAGAGATCTTTAACATTAATTTACAATTGTATTTTCTTTTAATCACTAAAGTAATTATTAATTTCAATTTTCTTTTCATTATGTTCAATTTTATTTTACCATTTTGGTTATTGATATTCACCTATATCATTACCTATCTTTTTATATTATTAAATTTACTTTTTTTTTGATTTTCTAACTTAATAAACGAAAACTTTGTTAATTTTATTTTTCATTATCTTTAGAATATTATTCTAAGATTTTATTGATACGATCTGATTTAAGATGTGATCTACTTGAATATAAATTTCCTTTATTATTTTTGGCTACATTTTCAGCTTCTAAATTTTGAATTTTTGATTTAGTTAATATATAATAAGGTGATTTTGTATTTGATTGTAAAATATCAAGCACTTTTTTCCAAGCTTAAAGAGCATTATTTGATTATCCTAATTCATAAAATGTTAATCCACTATAAAATAGTAAAATGGCTTCTAATGATTATAAGGTCATAATAGAAGAATGATCTCCCAAAAATAATCTAATTTTTGGATTAAGTTATTAATCTTGTAATTAATTTAATTCAGTAAAGCTTTATTCAATGTATCTACTTGCTTCTGAATATTTTTCATTTTTAATAAAGAGAATAACTAAATTAATTAAAGTGATAAGTAATGTTTCATCTGGAATGGATAATTATAAATATTCAATTGATTACTTAAGATATTTTTCAGCTGCTTGAAATTTATCAACCCTGATGTTAAAATGAATGAAAATTACATATAATAAAAACAACCAATATTGTTTGTTACTACAGAAAGAAGATGATTAATTTATGATAATGGAATAGTTGGAGCTTCTTTTTCTTGCTTTAGAGTAGTTTCAATTCTTCTCAATATTTAATAACCTTAATTATATTTTTCTATTTTATATATTATTCTTATTTTTACCTTCTTGTAACAATTAAGTAGCAGATATATTGGCATCCATAATACTTTGATAAGCTTTTTGAGACATTTTACGAAGAGTAAATTTTTGAAAATTAAACAATTAATTATGTATAATTTAGATATCTAATGTAATATTATTAATATTTATACAAATATATTAAAGTATTAATTTATTTATATTATTAATATAATCTTAGGAATTTGATGATATTATACTCAGAGTTCTATTTTTTGTGATTAAAATTTTGTTAAATTGTTTGATAATTCACATAATGGATTCAAATTATATATAATATATTTATCATCAAATAAAGAAAATATTAAAAATTAATACATCCATCTTTTTTTAATGATTTATAAAATAATCAATAAATTTAGTGTCTATATTGATCCATCAAAATTTCCAAATGGAGACCTTTTAAGTATTTACAAATCAACTGAAGGAAAAAGCATTAAACTTTTTAATGTATTTTACTTAGGACTTATTGGATATAATGCATATTCATATATGTAAGACAAATAAAATTCATAATATGCATTAAATGGTATTTATACTTTTAATATATATCTAAGATTTAACTGCTGCTTCTTATAAGTCTGGAATGGAAAATTCAATTATTATAATGGCTGCTCTTGGTATAGGAATGATATTTTTTTATTGGAAAACAAACAAAACTCTTTTTAATTTGTGGTTGTCACCAAATGGAAAATCAATTGTAATGGATTCTTATTCACTCTTTGGATTGAATAGTAGATCATTTTATATTGATATTGAAAATTTTAGAGGCTTTTCCTATTTCCTTCATCCTTCATTAAGAATACCTATGTTCAAATACAAATTAGGTAGTACAACTAGAACTATGTTTTTTAAACATTAATATGTCTTAGATGAATAAATTATGAAAAGTGTTTTATAAGGTCAAGATATATAAGTAAGACCGAAAGGAATGGAGAAGGAATTATCTAGCAATTAAAAAAAAAAATACAATCTATGATATTACATAAAAATTATTGTATTACATAATTAATGATTCCTAAAGTTATATTGTTAACTCAAAAGCTTTTTGAGAATGTTGATCAATAGTAACAATAATCCCAAATTCTTCCTTGCAATTATCAACATGATATTGATGTATGAACTACTAATTCATGATTAGTTAATTGTCGATCAAATAAAATATGAATTAGGAAATGTCGATCCTAAAATAATTAGAAACTATTCATAAAAAATTATTGAAGTATTCTAATATAATATATTTAAGCTGCAATCTATTAGTAATGAAATCTAAGATATAAAAGTTTAATTAGACATATATTTCTAGATTCCATCAAATCTAAAAAAAAAGTAAGCTCCATTAATTTATCAAGAAAACAAATAGTAACTATTTCTTACAATTTTAGAAATATTAAACAAATCAAATTACTAATACAAAAGTAATTAAATGATTTATCAGAACTCAGTGATGTTACAGATGTTGAGAACTATATGGAAAATGAATATGAAAAAATTTACATTTTCAGATTATCATAGATATACTAAAATGAAATAGATAATTTATAATACTAGTTTCTATAATCACAAATTAACAATAATGTCAACTTTAATAAATTGAATGAAAAATTTTTAGGTATTATTAATGATTAAACATTTATTAAAATATCATGCTAAATTCATAAATACATTGTCTTGTTGAATTTAATTGATGAATATAGAGATAAATTATTTGAAATTATTAAAAGTAAATCCTTCTCAACTGAAAGTATTATCTACTAAAAGAGTAAATAAAAAGCAAGATCACTTTAATATGAATCTATATCCTCTTTGGATTTAATTGATGATGAAAATAAAATTAATAAAAGATAACATCCCTTATTCAAATAAGAGGATATTAAAAATAAAAGATTTG